AGCCCTGCTGAAGTAGACACCCAACTAAAGATATATCCGAGCCACGTGCCCCTATTATCCCCGGGCCCTTCAATTCCGCAAGCCCGAGCCATGGCAACTTGAGGGTTTGGGGTTTAGGGTTCCATAAGGGTTGCAAAAGCGGTTCTGTGAGGGTTCTAAAGGTTCGGAGCTTCTGGGTTCGGGTTTGGCTTCGGGTTTTGGCTTTGGGGCTTAGGCATTTGGGTGAAGAACCCCCCGAGTTCTGACCGGGGCGATGACAGTGATAGGGAATTCAGCTAAGCCCAGCCATCACCATACAGCATCCCGAGTAGTGGATGTAGAGGGCACCGTAGACAAGCCTGACTATTTAGTGGAATTATTCCTACAGATTTCTTGAATAGACATAGAGCATATGGTGTAAACACACCGAAAACCACATTTCTAACAAGGGCCCCTATAGGCTCTATAGTACTATAGGCCTCTACGACTCTACGTTCGTAGACGGTGGTTAGGGGATTCCCAAAACCGCAATTTTGGCGCGGTACCCAGGAACCTACAGTCCTAAACCATCCGAAACCCTTAACGCCATGTTCCTTTCGGTGTTGAAGTCACCCATGGCCGTATGATGCTCAAACCAGAGGCAGGACGAATCTTACAGCTAGGTTCTGGCGTCGCAATCGCGCGACCTTTTTCGGAAGCCCCTTCCTGTCTGCGACGCGAAGCAGCATGGGATCGACTGCCTGGTCTCTGCGGGATGTATCGGCAGTCATCTTCATCTTCGTGTGCTTTTGCTTCGCATGGTTGATCTCCATGGGCCGGGTTCTCAAAACTACCTACGGTTGATGGTATAAATCCTGCATTACCCATAATAAGGAATATACCATAATTCCCATAGTATAGGGTCCTTAAGGTAATGCAGGATCTATATCATCAACAGTAATGTCTCCATGGAACCCCCAAACGCCAAAAGCCTATCTCCAGTGTTTAGTCAGCCCAAGAGGAGGATGGTTTGGGTCAAGTTCGGTTTCGAATGCCACCAGCAGAGCGTTTAGGAACAGTATTGGTGCTGACCATAGCAAGAATGATACGTAGTATTAGGGGGACCCTTAAAGGGGACCCCTTCTTAACCCTACTTATGGCTCTCTTAAAAGGGACCTGATTGAGAGGGTGTATATCCCTAGAAAAAACCCCCTGATCCTAACACCCAAAGAACAACAACCCTAAACCCTGGTACTAATCATAGCAAGAATGATACGTAGTGACAGTCTAACACTGCAGCAGTTGTTCGGGACGGGTATTGATATGTGTAGGTCTCTGAATCAGGGTCCCTTTCTAAGTCCCCAATATAGTATGGCACCCACTACAACGGTCGACATCTGTCTTAGGTATGGTATCGACGTGCTTATTTGCTTATTGAGCTAAATGACGGTTCCAAGAAGGGCCCATCTTGTTTGGCATCTGCCCTCTTGCATTTGCTTCCCTGCCGCGGCAGGGCAGAACCTGTTTGTCTTGCACTTTCCGGACCGAGACTACGCGCAGCAGAAGCTTGTGGACGCGGTGGGCGTTCTAAAACTTTGCGAGGTTTGTGGTCAATCCTAACTTGGACCCCGGAGCCCAAACCCTCAACCCCTACAACAACCCTGCCCTTAAATTCTGCAATCCTTAACCCTAGACCCGGTGGCCCGTAACCCGGGGTTTGGGGTTTAGGGTTTAGGGTACTCCGAAATAGACATCCGAATCGCCAGATCCTAAGCAGCTCGAAAGGGCGGTAAACTTACAGCCCTTCACTTCCAGCCAAATCTCTACCACGCCCCTCTCTTCCGAGTATGGATTCGTAGACACGGCTTAGACCCAAAATGCTACAACCACAAATCCTGATCACCGTCCGCACTTTTTTGGGGCCTTGGGTTCAAGGGACCCTAAACTAGCAGTAGCTCTGAGGAAGCATAACGTTTAGGGTTTAAGGTTTAGGGTTTAGGTACATTTTCTAGAATATGAGGGCTGGCCATTAACCCGATGCCTCAACCGAATCCCAAAGCACAAGCCCCAAACTCCTCACAAGTGTACCGGCGTTGGGCTCCACCCTAAACTCTAAACCCTAGACCGTAAATCGAAATAGATTTGGGGTTACATTGTTTTTAGACAGCCTATTTGTCATGGGCAGCTATACGTAGGGTTCCCCTAATCTGGTTATACTTGTAGTTGCCAGACTTATAAACCCACTTATAACTACCCATGAACCTCCAAATAAGCCTCAAAGCCTATAGCCTACTGGTTTAGGGCTTAGGACACACTCTTTCGGCTTGGCTTTGGGGCGTTAGGAATTCGGACCTCTGCTTTAGCTTCAGGGTTTAGGGCGTAGGGTCATGTATCGGGGCTTAGACAGGATCTCGGGCTTAAGGATCTAGGAATCTAGGGCGCTCCTAAACCCCTAAACCCGAAACCCTGCCAGCGCGGCCCTCTTGATGACACCTGGCTTGGGGGCGTGCAGCGCTCTTACTGGGGCCCGCGCCTTCGTCGAGGTTTCGGGTTTAGGGTTTTAGGGGTTTTGGGTTTAGGGTTTTATACGCGTTTACAAGGGTTCCAGACCGTTGCTGTCGGGCGTTTGGGAGTTACATTGCTGTCTGTCGGGCGTAATCAGGGTTTAGGGGAAAAGAATCTAGAGTAGGTAACTAACGGTCGTGACAAACACAGGCAAAGACAAAAAAAACAGCGACACAGGCACACCAGGAGGGAGACACACACACATATATATATATACATATGCACGAACAAAAAACAACTCCACATTGTGTTTGACTCTACGGAATTTTTTGCATGTGCTTGATTCAACCATAACATCATTGCATTATAGTACATTCGTGAACAAAGTCTGACAGCCAAGTATCACTGGCGAAGCATTAGCACCGCACACGAACGGCCAAGGACTTGGATTCTGCTATAGTACTGCTATACACCATAGTTATCTCTGCTATGCAGCATAGTTATTTCCTTTCTGGTAATGTAGATAGATGCAGGGACCTCCCCAAGTTGTTGAAACCAGTGACCCCGACATCAGATAGGGCTCCGGATTTCAGAGGCGTCAGTCTGGAAGAGGGCTTACGATGAGAAGCCGTGTAAATACGAGTCCTTGGCAGGGGGCCCCCGCCTTATGCGGTAAGGCCCAAGTTCAGGGGAAACCCTGAACCCTAAACCCCAAGCCCCTGCACCCTAAACCCTAAACCCGGGACGCATAGTTAGAAGGAGAAGGTCCGGAAAGCCTTGGTCTTATGCCGCGTCTGGGAGGCCTGAAAAGCTCCGCCTTAAGCTCTGAACTTCAAACTCTTGTTAAGGGATTTAGGGTTTAGGGTTTAGGGTCCTGTTAAGGGATTTAAGGATGTGGGATTTAGGGTTTAGGGTATAAAAAGCTCCAAACAATGGAGCCCTTAACCCGGAAAACCCTAAAGCCCGCTTAAAATCTGCAAGCCTTAACCCTAAACCCTAAACCCATTGCAACATCCGAAAAACTTAGAACTCCTACAACTAAACCCGATATCCGAAAATCTTAGAACGCCTACAACCCAAAAATATGGCCCCAGGCATTGATCCCTGGAGCCCCTTCCTTTGAAGGAACCTTTTGAGGACCCGTTGTTTATGGGGTTTACGGTTTATAGGGTTTGGGGTTTAGGGGCTCAGGGTTTATAGGGTTTAGGGGCTTATATAGGGGCTTTGGGTTTATAGGGTTTGGGGTTTAGGGCTTGGGGTTTAGGATTTTTCGGATTTGGGAGTTTAAGGGTTTATAGGGCTTAGGGTGAACCTCCGATAGCCGGATCATTTAAGGCGCTGGATGTGGTTTGCTCCCCACGTCTTCTCGTCGATCGTCTGGTGGAACTTCGCTTGGATCCAACTCATCAAGTGGATCCGCGCCAAGCACATCTGGCTGCACCGCTTGAACGGGAGGATTCAGGCCGGAGAGCGTGGTTCCAAACAGTAACTTATATAACTACTATCCGAACCTATAAGTACCTAATTATGGAGCCCTTTGGACCCTAGGCTTCGGTTTAGGGACGGGGCATTCTGAAGTAGAGGGCCTTGAGAATCGCACCAAAATGGAATGGAGGACTAAGCTGCAAGCGAAATGTCTAAGCATAATTACCCATAGGCTCCTAAGTAGTTCCTGTTTGTGGTTTATATTTAGAATCCTATACGCCTATAAGGTCATCCCAAAAAGGAACGACTAAGGAGCCTATGGGTAGTTAAGCTATCTTCAGCTAGAGCTCTGCATGGACCCAACACTCCGAGCTTTCCCCATGTTTTCCTTAACCCCACTCCTTGATGAAGTCTAACCCCCAACCTTCGGCCCAAGAGCCAGCCAGGAACTCTACGCAAGCCCCGGAGCTCAGTGCGAACCCTCTTCGGGTACCGACACATTCCTTTCTCATCCAATAGCCCGTTGATTTAAACAGGAAGCCAACAATGTAGCTCATAGACCCTTTGCCCAGAATATCTTTGAGAATGGCCTTAGGGCTCAGGGTTCCTAAACATTACATCATTACACCCGGAATATCTCCTCGATTAAGAGTTCTACCGTTCTACCCTCTCCAGGTGACGGCCATGATGGGCCAGATCATCACAGGCATCGGCCTTGCTAGCGGCTCCCCAACGCACGGGGTGAAGATGACGAGCATCCGAGCACAAGAAGACTCAGAAGTGCTTAGGACTCTAGACGGGCTGCAGGTTTAGGGCTTAGGGGGCCTTCTGTCTGGTAAGTGTAGGCACCAGCAGTTTCGGAAGTGGAGCACAACAGACTATAATAGAAGGTTGACATAAGTTTGAATAATTTGCCGTGCCCCGTCAAGTAGCAACACGATCACCGCCACCGCCGGTCTCGCCATAATGCTGACTCTTGACGAGAGTGTGACAAAAACATAGGCATTAGATGCTGATGGAAGTGACTACCAAGTAATATTGATGCTCCTGCTACCAGAAGCAGCGGAACCAACAGAGCCAGCAGCAAGAGGGACACCAATGCAGTTTGGAGACGAGTCACGTGTAGTCCCCCCACCTTCATTATTGCCTGCTTCAATCCTAGAAGCAAAGCCTAGGCACTGCTTATGGTCTTGCAATGGCCTATGTCTTGGCAAACACGATCTACTACGTCCGGAAGAAGGCCTTGCATTCCCTGCCTGTCATCGGAGCTTTAAATCCGGTCGCCTGGCGCTAAGGACCTAGTAGCCAACTTTACCCTAGAGCCTAAACCCAACCCTAAACCCTAAACCCTAAACTCGCAGTCATATTTGGTAGTGGATCCTTGAAGCAGTCGAAAGAGGCTAACTAGGACTCCAGCAAGCCTCCAAATTCACACGGGTTCTTTGGCGTATAATTCTACCACATGGTTTGTGGTGTTTTAGGGTTTAGGGTTTGGAGGGCTTGCGGTGTAGCAGGACATCGTCCGGCACAAGTACTGGGCCACGAAACTCTTTGGCTACTCCCAAGCCATCGCTCTCCAGCGGTGTCTCGGCTATCAAGCAATTGAACTGGCTTATGCAGTTGCTGAGGGCATGGGCTGTGGCTGGGAGTTGTGGACAGACTTTCTTAAACCCTAAACCCTAAACCCTAGACCCTAAACCCTTTTCACTGAGGTGATGGGTCTTCCTGTTGGGATGTCATTCTACTAGGAATGGGGTCGTCAGGGAGTTTTTCCAGGGCTTCCGAAGAGTATGGCCTCAAGAGTGTCCTGCATATCACCGAGTTACAAGCCCCACACATGACAAGATATTCCAGGGGCCCCCTGTAACAAACCTTAACAACCCTAAGCCGCCGAACCCGAAGCATGAATCCGGAAACCTACCTATATAGTCTCCATTGTAGTTCCTATTTTGTGGCTACCTTATAGGATCTTAACTGTAGAATTAGCTAAGTCAGGAGAAGGAATCAGGTAGGTTACAACATGGAGCCCAGTTACCCATATAGTGGGTTGCTGTCCCTTAAAACCCTATATGGGTAGTTCTCTTGAGCCTATGGGTATAGCCGTCGAGACTCGCAGGCACTTGTAGAGGCCACCGCCCGCATTCGTGAAGTACTCTTTCAGCCATGGCAGTTTCTGCTGATGTTCTCTCTCACAAGCACTCTTATAGACCATAAGCGGTGAAGCCGAAAATTCCAAAGCCTGAACGCGAAACCATTTTTCAGTTGCCTTTCCTTATAGGGCTCCAATGTAGTGAAGACGCCTTCGAAAGTATGGTCTCTGGACCCAAAAAGCCTTTAAAAGTCTAAGCCCGTATAGAGCCTCATGGCATTCTACAACCTAAACCCTCAACCCTAAGCCCTACAATCCTAAAGATTTAGGGTTTAGGGTTTAGGGAACCATACCCCCGAAGATCGGGCCCTAGGGTGTACTTCTTTGCATTCGTCGCTTCGACGCTGCTTGGCGACTCTCCGTTCTGGGCCGTCGCGCCCTCCAGCTCCATGGAGCAGCGCAATGCGGAATCCAGGGAGACGCTCCAAGATTCGGGTTTACGGTTTTGTAGTTAGCTTGCGATTCAGGGTTTGCCTAAACTCCCCAACTACCCTCCGCTGTACCCTAAACAAATACCCCCTATGAAGAATCATAGGGACTCCATTGAACGACAACAGGGGGGGGGGGCTTGGTAGAGCTTGGATTCGAGGTTTAGCATTCGGGGTTAGGTTCGGAGAGCCGTCCACTTCAAAGTTCATGGAAGATTCCCGGCAATCTACCCATAGGCTCCTTAGTAGTTCCTTTTGGGGATGACCTTCTGGGATTCTAAATATACGCCCACAAAAAGGAACTACTTAGGAGCCTGCTCCATCTTATGAGGGCTCGGGGTTTATACGGGCTTAGTCACACTGGGCGGCTGTGCGACTTCTCACCACACGCTCCGCTTGAAGACCGCACAGACAAAAAGCATGGTCACCCCTAGGGCTCCAGTTACCTAAATAGTGGGTTACTAACCATATATTATGTACCCCCCCAGTAACCTACTATTTAGGTAACTGGAGCCCTAGGTCAGGAAAAGTTTGCTGGAGCTGGCGGTTGCTCACACACTGCACATCAAGCACGAAAGCCTCTAAACCCTGCGCCCTGAACCCCTGAAAAAACCCTAAACCCTAAACCCTAGACCTTACCATCCGAAGACTTGAAACCCTAAGAGGACATGTTCGATGATTCCTTCTCCATGTGCATCTTCACAGCCATCGTTCTGACGGAGTGGTACCAAGCGGCAGACGTCCACGAGCTTCTGGAGTACCGCGTCAAGGACGTGACCCCTAATTTTCTTGACGATTTAGGATTTACCTAGACCCCCAAACCCTAAACCCTAAACCATAAACCCTGAACCCCTGACCCCTACACCCCTAAACCCTAAACCCAAACCAAATACCTTCTATTATACCCAAATTCCCGACCAATAGGGCTTTATTTGCAGGATACAGGGGAGTCCTGCTATGGTTCTGGGTTTTTGGAGTTTCAGAATCCTGAGATAAGCGCCCTTGTGAGAGCATGCTCCGGTGTGCACTTGGAGCTATTTCAGAAAGCTAGAGGGTCCACACATACGAATTACTTCATAATCAGGTCCATCAGTGGATGGTCTTTGGGACCTATAATTCCACAAGATTCCACAATGGTATATATGGACCATCTGGGAAAGTGAGGATTGTTGCATTTGTTGCCGCGATGCCCGGAACCCGTGTTGTAGAAGTCGGGTTTGGTCACGTCACACCCCAAGCCTTAACCCAAGGTAAGAGCCTGCTCCTACATCCCCTCTTGCGGTTCGAAGTATGGATCTCTTTTCAATCTAATTTTGGGATCTTACAGCAAACTTTGTATCAACGCCACGTTATAACATGACCTTGTCCCAGAGGACGTCAACGAAAAGAACGGCCTACCTCCCCTTCAGCAGCCTCTTGTGGGGTGAAGGAGCAGCATCACGGCTCAACAGCAAGGGTGAGTCTGTGATTTGGGATCTCAGGTTACCCTACCTGGACCCCAAAGAGCCTACCTTTTTAGGACTTGTATCAGGAAGTCATAATAAGGAGCCCTAAAAAGGTAGGTTCTTTGGGTTCCAGGTAAACCCTAAAGCTTTAAGCCTTCTAGGTTTACTTGGGTGTTGGCAGACTGTGTACATGGCGTCAGCCGTGCAGTGGTGATGTGCATATGCCAAGGTGGTTCAGAGGCAGACAAGAGGGGTAATACAGAAGCAGAAGTCGTGAGTAATACTATTCCCCGGGGTTCCTATTTATAGCTGAAAGAGTATTACATACCCCACAGGCCTATTCCAATCAGTTAAACTGTTATCAAGCCTAGCACCAACTTTCGCAGTCTACCATCCACCACGAACGCATCCTGATTCAGGTACAGACATGTCGACGATCTACATGTCTATCTATCTATCCATCGATCTATC